TTGTTATTTATAATTTAGTGTTTTTTGGTTAGCACTTTTAGTAGCAATTTTTCTTTTAAATATATTGATATAACTTTTGTTAAATAAGTTAATTTTTAAATATATCAAAATAAAATATAAATATAGGATTATATGTTGGATAAATTTAATTTAAAGTTATTAATACCAATTTTTCAAAATTTAACTTTTAATACTGTACTAAATTTAGTACATTGTACTAAATTTAGTACAGCAAACGGATACCCATTAAAGTTAATATTAAGGTTAGAATTAAGGTTTGAGAAGAGTTTTTGGAAGTATAAAATATTTTTACTCAGAACACTTCATACTAATTAATTAGCTAGTTTTTGAAATAATATATATAGATATAAAACACTATAGGTGTGTTTTAGTAGAATTCTTATTTATTTATTTTTTTTAGTAACTTTATTAGATATTTTTTAATATTTGTAGTTAATTATTATTTACTGTATTAATTTGACTAAGTTAATATTTAAAGATTAACTAAGTTAACTATATCTTGGTTGATAAATTTGATTGGATAATTATAATCATATGATAATTTAATACTGATTATTAAGTATAGTTTCTTAACATAATACTGTAGTTCTGTATAAAATAGAATAGTTTAAAATCTATATATACTAATAAAGCCTAATTAATTAAATACTATATATCTTTCTCATTTGATTATAGCTTAAAATGTTATACCAGTATTATTTTGGTATTTGATTGAATAATTTTAGTATATAAAGATACTCTTTATTATTTTTGAATCATTTATTATATAGTTTATAAGATATAGTAGTTTTTTTTTTTTTTTCACTTAGGCAAAATCACACCAGTGACACTATTTATTAAAGTTATCATCTCATGGAAAATGCAAAACAATAAAACTTAAGTCCTGACATCCTACAGCTACTATGCCTTCAAGCGCCCATAGGCGACCTGCCGCACTGGCGAGATATAAAATATATCCTAACCGGAGGGCTTGTCTGACCACCGTCCTACAATAGGATATCACCAATCTGATGACATCTTCTCATAAGGAGTGAAAGAAAAAGAAAAAATTTTTAAGAAACACAGAGATATAGGGGAATATGGTAAAAAAATGCAATAAGTGAATCTGTGTCTGGTTATGCATGATTATGCATGATCTACAAATCAGATTTGAGAATCAGGTATAACATAGCACAATCAAAACAAATGTTCGTTTTGCCAAAAATCGCTTCTTTCTCAATAATCTATATAGTAAACCACCTTTAGTATACTAACAAAAAGTTTTCCTTGTGCGATTTTACTATATAACCACTTAGCTTTCAACTTTATATGAAATGCTAACCTTAATATTAATGAACTTTAAAGAATTTTACATGATGATTAGCAACATGCATAACTGGGCACAGATTCACTTATTGCTAAAAAAATATAAACAAGAAAAGAATAGAGTAAAGGAAAAATGAAGAAAACTAAACTAAATACAGAATTTTTTACCTGCACCGGACGGTCACAATTATAAGTCTGTGTTAGGCTCTGTAAAAATTACATACTACTATCTAAACTAGTCTTTACTCTAATCTACATATATAGTATATTTAAGATAAAAAAAAACCATGCGACAAAGTAAAAAAAATATAGCTTCTTCGATGTTGGCATTATAGAGAGGTTGGAAAGGTCGGAAAGGTTGGAAATTTGCACTGGAGGTTTCGAGTCATTGTTTGTTCAGGTTGCCACATTCGAGGCACGTAATCCATATATCCAGTTCTATAAGATCCACATATTTGTTGTGACAGGTAAAAATGTAAACAATGCGACCAATTTGGTAAGTAAACAATATATCGATCTTTTGAAGCGAGTAAGCTAAATCACTCACTTTTTTACAAAATTTTCACCCAAAAAAAAAGTGGAGGGACAACAAAAGTATGTGAAGTTCTTCTATAAGTTTTATAGTTGTATAGGCAATTCTTCAAGCTTTCACTATCTCAGCGAGAGTCTTTTAACTACTACTTGTTCCCAGAATAGACCTTCTGATTTGGATGCCAAATAACTTAGGGAGTCTGTTCGATAAATTAATAAAAAAAAACTTGACCCCAAGAAAAACTATCCAAGTTACATCTGCTTCTTGATGTATTATGTCTCTTGAACTTCGTTGACAACAACCTGTACAAAGGTAAAAACAGTTTCCAGAATACCCTTCTGGTTTGGATGCCGAATAACTTAGGGAGTCCACACAAAAAGGAAAAGGTTTGATCCCAAGAAAAACCATCTAAAAAATGTCTGCTCCTCGGTGTTTCACGTCTTCAGACTTTATCGACAACTGCTTTACTCTAAGGTAGGACTAAGAAGTTTCTGTCTTGGATGTTCCTATATCGTTTTTTGTAGTTTGGTTTTTTGTTATTGTTGTTCAGAGGATTGTTAGAAAGAGTTATCTATTATATATTTGATAAGGTATAGTAGTTATATAAAAGATTATTAGTTAATATTCATATATTTAGACTAGTATTATAGTTGACTAAATTAATTTTTTGAAAAATTGATTGACTAAGTTAACTAAGATCAAGTTTAACTATAAACATTAGATATTTGTTAGTAAATTTACATATTTTACTATATATACTTAATTTTTATTAATATCAAATTATTTAAATCATTTTTATATTTATATTAATAGTAATATTAATAAAAGATCTTAGTAAAGTTAATATATATTGCAGATTATTATAATCAGATTATCATAAAATCTATATAACCTATATTTGTACATTATTTTATATAGCACAAGAACTGACTTTCTAAAAATCCTAAATCAGATATTATATTACTGTATGCAACTTGATTATCAAAAAAATGTTTCTTTAATATCTAGTCAAATAAAAACAATGTCTTCTATCTATCCAAGAAAAAACAACATTTATCTACCCAAAACAAAGCAATGCCTGTTTATCTAAGAAAAACAATACACATTTATTCAAAAAAAATAATGCTCACCTATATAAGAAAAAGCAATACTCACTTATTTACCCAAGAAAAAGCAGCATCCACCTATCTACCCAAGAAAAAGCAATACTCATCTAAAAAAAAGCAACACCTAGCACCTATTCATTTACCCAAAAAAAAGCAGCATCAATCTACTATCTAAAAAAAGTAGACTCTCACTATCTATCTATATAAAAAAACTCTAAAGGTTTTTTTTTAAACATAGTGCTAATTTTTAAAATTTAAAACAGCTAAGGAGTATTAGATAATAGTTAAATATTTTCAATTAGAATTTTTTTTAGATAGCATACTAACAAGCTCCATTATCTCTATTATATGATTCAACTTTGCTTACTGTTGTAAAAATTTTAAAGTTGACAAAATTAGAATTCTTTACATTAAGTCAGTTATAAAAAATAATATGATTATATTTAAAAAACACTATGTAGTTTCCAAATATGATATAGATATTTGTGCTATAATTTTAAAGCACTTTTATAATCAAGCAAATTATTATAACCTTTTCAGTGATTTTAGAAAAGCATATTGGAATTATATAAAAAGAGATAAAAATATATATAAACAAATGCCTTACTGGTGCTTATATAAGTTGTATTAGATAATTATTCAGATATTTAAGAACTGTTGATAAATGTTTAACTCATACTCTTATTAATTTAAGATTTCTGAATATATTTTCAATAGTGAATTGAACTTAGTATAGCATCTTAGCCAATATTTTACACAAAACCTGTCTATAATTACAAGATCTTGATGAGAATATAGGCCTATAACTCGGATTGTAACATTATGTGCTTCTATTATTTTTGAAGTTTTACTTATAAATTCTCTATTACCATCACATTGTAATAAATTAGGCTAAGTAAAAGGGATGCTCTAATTATCATAGATTTTTTAAATACTTTAGCAACTTCTGAACTGTTCTTCAATATTAATAGAATAGCCTATTTAAAACAAGATGCAATATCTATAATAGTGAATGCTTATTTATATATCTTTTTATTAATAGTATCATTTGTAAAGCACAACAAATCACACATATATATGCAGTTTGGACATGAAATTTTTTCATAATTCACCCATGGAATATTTTTGGTGGAGCGTATTTTTGCTATTCATTCTGATTATATAATCATTTATGAACTTTTTTATATAAGAAATTATATCCTTTATCTCTAATAGCATTATATAACTAGTTGATTAATAAAAAAACAATTTATAGATTAAGTTTAACTCCTTATATAAATCGATTCTAATAATAGGCTTGCTTAATTTACTCATTTTAATGTTACTTATTCTAATAAAAATTATGTTTAGCAAAGTTAGAAGATAAGTTAAGAGACTTTTTTTTATAAAAAATATATTATATTGTAACAATAGCTATAATATTTTATCGACCCAACCTCTAATCAAACAACTCATAGATTATCTATGGATAAAGAACTTGAGTTAGAACAAATTAATCAAGAACTCTAGGAAATATTGCAATCAGAGATAGTTATCAACAAATTGAATAAAAAATATATAAAGAATCTGGAATGTAAATATATCCAGTGTAAGAATGAAATTCAATCTCTCAAAAAAAGAACTGAAACAGCTTGAAAATGCTTCAGAAAAAAAAAAAGTGGAGTTGAGATTGGAAATATTATTCCTTAAAAAAGCTTATATCAAGTTAAAAAGGAAATTCAAGACAAGATATCATATATCAATAATATAGAGAAACAATTACAAAAATCAGAAGAGCAGATTCAAAATTTAAGATATAGATTCAAAGTTATTTCTTCTTGAAAAAGCTCTCTAAGTTTATATAATTCAAAAGAAAAAAATATAGATATAGCAAATCTTGACCTTTTTATACAAATTAATCGAGGTTTAAATTGCATTGAGAATCATATTAGAGGAGCTGAAATACTATTAAATAATCCTATTAATATTATAAATGGTATTAGAGGTTTCTTAAATGATATCCATCTTAATTACCAAAATGCATTTCAGGATATAGATGGTGTTATCACTTAACAAGATAACAGAGATAATCAGATAGTCCAGTTATAACAGGATGTCAATTTCTATAGACAAGGAAACATTGTTTTGCAAAATCAAGTTAATCAGCTTAGAGAAGTATCATTTATTACCTGATTTTTTGTAAATAGTAAATATTCTCCCTCCCTTATATGATAAAATTTATGAGTTTCAATCATTTTCGCTACATTCATTTTCAACAATAATAAAACTGATTAATCATATACTAATGTACATAATACTTTGTTAGGGAACTCTATTCTAAAATAATCAGATGATAAATGACACTTCCCTTATCCAAAATAATTTTCAAAACCAAGTCAATCAGATTACCCAAGAAAAAAAATAACTTACAAAACCAAGTTAATCAAATTATCTAAGAGTGACATAACTTACGAAATCAAGTTAATTATCTTATTCAAAAATGTGCTAATTCTCAGAATGATCTTACTTTAATGATAATAGCTTATAATAATGAACAAGGAATCATTGTTGCTGATGAGAGATTGCTCAGAAAATAGAAATAGGATGCAAATATATATTGATACTTTATTACTCGATAAGTTTATATTTAATTTTAAACTTTGGAAGTATCAGAGACATGATAGAGAATTGCAACAAAAATATTATATAGTATATAGAGCATTTGTGGTATAATGCCAGTCTAATATGAGATGAACAGTCAAAAATCAAATGTATTCTTAAAATTATTTATAAGGTATTTATCTATCACCTAGCACAGGAGCTACAACAATGCCGGGCTAATAAAGGATTATTAGAATATAATCGAGATCAGCTCTTTTAATAAATTCAAGAATCGCAAGGCAAGTTATATCAAATAGAAAAATAAAGAATAAATTCACAGCAATTAATTTTAAATTTTCAATCTCAAATTTTATTACTACAGAATAATTCACTAAATATAGATGTCGTCTAAAGCTATATATCCACGTGATTATTTTGTATTAATCAATTAACTGAAATTGCGAAATTTAGTTTACACAGATCAGCCCAAAGAAGTTAAAAAATAAAGAAAACACAAAAAGACAAAAAACAATAGTCTAAACCTGTCTTGTGGCATTAATTAAAAATACCAGGAAGACAATTTTACTTATATTCTTTTCTTTATATCAACACTAACCTAATCCTAATTCTAACTTTAATTTTAATTAAACTAATTAAAACATCAAAATCATGTAAGTACATGGCTTTAGCCATCCTCTAAATATAGCAGAAGCTAGACATTTACCAATATTAAAATTAATACAACCTGCTTTTGCAAGTTTCTCATCTTATATTAGTCAAAAACCTCCTGATAATTATTTTAATAAGGTTATACAATTATAGATATTTGTTAAGAAGTATATAACAGTTCTTAAAAATGCAAATACAGGAGATTTCGATAATATAGTCAAGTATATTATCTTAAAATCTAAGATGGCTGGTAAATATGCTTCAGTATCAGCTAATGATCTATATATTGTTGATAATCTCCCATTAATATTTCAGCAACTATGAGGGCATTGGCAAGAACAAAATATTAACGAGAAACAGTTGGAATTAAACAATTTGCAATTCAAAGATTAACTCAAGAAAGATTTTAACCTTTTGATACTTCAGATATCTATAAAACTAGAATTTAACCTCTTTTGTTAGATGTATTCAATAATAATACTCAAGTCTTGGGATTTCTTAAAAGTCAATTACTAGGTGAGCTTTTCACTTAGATGAGGTCTGATGCTCCAGTAGGTATTAACAAATTTTTCATTGCATTAAAAAATATGTGATTAAAACATATTCCAAACCTGTATAAAGGATCAAATTTTAATCAAGTCTCAGCTATTAGATCAAAAGCTAGTTTTTCAGCTAATATATCATCTACAATTTCTTAACCAAAAACCAGCTCACACCAATTACAAAATAAATCTATGATGCTGATACGATCTCAACAGAAATAGTTTAATTCTAATGATTATTCTAGAGTACCAGATAAATATATGCCAGAAAGACCTCCAGATGGATATAGCAGAAATTCTAAAAGATTTATTTATACTGATATCATAAATCTAATTTCTTTAACTAGTCAAATTATGAAATCTCTAGCCAATGTTCTTTATAAAAAATTGTTTGATATGTTTTTGACAAAACTGATACAATCGAAAAATAAAGATATCAGTACCAATAATATAGATAAAATAACTAAAGATATATCAAAATTATCATTAAATTTAGCAAAATTGGCAAAAAAGGTTAATGTTGTTAAGAAATCATTGTTCAAATTGCAATAGAACTTGACATAATTCTCACAAACTCTCTAAAAAGAAATCTAAGAATTTTAAGAGATCTAGCAAGAATAAAAAGGATAAGGTTAATATAGCTACTAATGATTTTGATTCAGATACAAGCTCTTTTGATAATTCTGATTCTGAATCAAAATCTGGGAAACATTCAGATTTTGAAGAGTCTGAGGCTGAATTTGATTATAATTATAATATACATATTTCTAGTACAAAAAAAACAAGTAAAGTAAAAGGATAAATCAGATAAATCATCATTTAAAAAGTGGTCTAGTCCAAAGAAATGTACTTCACAAAAATCACAAATAAAATCAGATACAATTATCGAAGCATAAATCTGAAAAATTATTTTAGCTATGTTTAATGATTCAGAGCTTATAGAAATAATTAAAACAATATGGTTTAGGCCACAGATAAATTAGTCTGAGTTTCTTTTTTTGCTATCTTAGAATATGAAGTTTAAATATATTCTTTTCTTTGTATAAGAGTCATATTCTCTTTCTTTGTAAGAGAGCTGTATATTCTTTGCTTTGTAAGAGAATTAAATTAAATTTTAATAAAGACAGAGACATGGTCTCACCATTAACATTCAAAAAAAAAAAATAATAATTAAAACAATATTAATAATACAAATATATTTATTGCAAAACCTGACTTTACTGCAAAGCAGAGCACTTTGTGCTTAAATTATCAAAAGCTGGCTCCAGAAATATCTGATTCTAATAGGAAGGATAAAACACTAGATGATCTTATAGAGATAGATTTTGTCTGTTATAAAGAACTGATAATTAGTATTGCGCTATACTAGTTAAAATCAAATGCTTAAAAATTCTGCATTAGTACTTGATAGTGGCACTGAACCTGCAATTATATCAGAAGATATTGTTAAATGTGTAGGTAGAAAAATAGATATGTCAAAAAAATATGATCTTAGTGATATTGCTACTGTTCAAACAGAATCTATTGGTACTACTTATAATTTACCAATAACATTTTCTTCAGATTTTACTATATATGAAGATTTTGTAGTTATACAAGTTTTCAAACTGACATTAATATTCTTAAATCTGCTTCTCAAAAAATATAAATATACTGTAGATTGGAGTAACAATAAAATGAAGATCATTATAATGGAGAAGATTTTATTATTCCTGTTATTATATACAAAGTCAAAAATAAGCTTGAAGTAAATTGCACTACTGCATCTCAGAATGATAAGCCATTAGTATCCAATCAAATTTCTCAGAAGATAGATGGTAATGAGAATGACAATATACTATTCAAAAAGTGGTGTGCTCCTGTGAGCTTTAGCCAAAATTCTGATAGTTCAACTTTAAAAAAAATACATAAATTGTAAAAATATAACTATTTATATAAAGAAACTTAAAAAGGCACTATTTACTAGTATTTAAACCAATTCAGAATTTATCAGATATTATAATAATTTATGTAATAAGTATAAAGAAAAAATTAATTCTATACTTTTAGATTAGAAGTTGATACTTTAGAAATATTAGCACATGTATTCGCTCTAACTTTTTTAATTTCTTTTTGTATTTTCTTATAAAATTTCAAAAGATCTTCAGTTTCTTGCGAAGTTTTAGGTAGTATAGTTTTTTTTTTACTTCTAATGATATTGCACTTAACTTTCCAGTTAAAATTTTATTAATATAAGGTTGATTCAAAATACGAACAGGTTTGAATTTTATTTTTTTAATCAATATCTTAATAGCTGAAGATTTCTTGTTTTTAAAATCATTTAAAATAGAAGAGTTATTAGAATCAAAAGGTGATAGAGAATTAAGATCTTGTTGTAAATATTCATTATGCTTCCATATTTTATAAATACGATGAGCACCAATATGAAATTTTTCTGCTATTCTTTTTGATGCATTTGGTATCTTCTCTCTTGATTCTCTAATTTTTATAATATCAGATTCAGATAAATAAGTCACATTGGATCAATAAAATTTTTGATGAATATGGGTAAGCATCTTAAAATAGATATATATATATTAAAAAAAAAAGGTTCAATAATTTTTCAAAACATATTAATATCTATTGATACCTATTGTTACCTATTGTTATCTATTGTTACCTAATAATTAATACCTATTAATACCTATTAATACCTATTGATATAAATATTTAATATATTTTTTGTTATATATATATGAGAAAAAATATATAGCTAATATATACATATTACGAGATATTAACTCAAAAGGATATTAACTTGAAAGTACTAGGAAGTTAGAACTTGAAAAAGCTTTACGTGATAGTTGTAAGACTAATTCAGAACTTGATAATAATTTTAAAAACTATCAGAAAGTGAATAAAAAGTTTATTAGTAATATTAAACAGGATAAAGTACAATTACAATATAATCTAAATCAAACTAATAAAGATAAAGAAGAACTTACCAAGTATATCTATCAACTTATAGATGAGATTAAATGATTAAACTCAGAATTAGATAATTTATCATCTCAGATTAAGCGATCACAGCTTTCTAATATTGAGTATAAAACTAAGAATATTACTCAATTAAGAAAAATAGAATCTTTCTAGTCTATAATTAAGATATTGGAAAGTAAATTGTTTTCAGCCTAAAAAAATGTGATTTCTATGCAAAAAGACTTATCAAAAAAAGAATCTGAGATATTATCCCTCATGTCTAAAATAGCTGAAGTAGAAGATAAGTTAGATAAGTTAGCTTTAAAAGTTAGTAAACTTAAGTGTCTGAAATCGGAGGCTATATTAGCAGAGCTAACATAGCCAAAACCTGTTGTTAGTAGAGATGTCAAAAAAAATATAATTAAGGATAGTGATCTAAGTAAATATTTTATAGGATTGGCCAATTAAATTCATATAAATCTCAATCAAATTTGTCATATTTTATGAAATTCCATTTTGATCTATCTTCAATATCTTGTGATCTAGTGATCAGATCTGAATAATTTTGGTACTATATGAATTGTCTTACAAGATGATTCGAATAGTACTAAAATCATTCAAATCTGATCACTAGATCATAAAATATCGAAGATGGATCAAAATAAAATTTCGTATAATATGACAAATTTGATTGAGATTTATATAAATTTGATTGGCCAATCCTATATATGCTGAAAAAATATGGATTCAATAGAAAAAATCAATGATAATATGTATTCTGAGTTAAAAGCTTATGGCTTATTATAATATAATAGCACTTATATGTCTGCCATTGATACTAGCTTTGCTATCTCGATATATACTAATGATGAGATTACTAAACTACTAAAAAATAATATTGAAATTATTACCAAAGCAAGTAATAAAATTAATATTAGCAAAATTAACAACAATATACTCCAAGAATTACCAAATATAGCTTCTTATCTTATATAGCTAAAAAATTATAACCTCTCTTTGATTGAATCACACTCTCAAATTTCGATAGAGGGAATAGAAACAATCTCTGTTATAGCAAATAAATTGATATCTCTTTTATTAATATATATTTTTCTTACTCTGTTAATTATTGCCATTATATGGTTTGTGGTATTAAGATATACATGGAATATAGGTAGACTCGAAGAGCCAGGATTTAAAAAATCACCTAGGCATGCCAATGCTATTGTTCTACAATATGGCCTGCTTCGCAATAAAAAAGTGATTGGCTGTAAGATACATAGATGAAGTATTAGAAACTATCTATTTAAACTTGGGTATTTTTTATATACAAAAAAAATATTATTAATAATGTATAGTGGAGCTAGTGTCTAAAGACTCATAAATATCTTAATAGATTGTAGTGATCTTAGTTAAGACTTAACAGTATAAATCAATAATCTTATTGATATCAAATTCTGATATATTATTTCAAAACTTAATATATATATCGATTTTTATTACAGAAAAATAACCCTTTGAGTTATATCTTCACTTCATATAATATATAGAATTTGTTAACTGATTTATCTCACATTTTTAGAAGCTTTTGAATATTAATTAATCAGCTTCTGATATATAAGGTAAGGCCGGTTCCTTACTAATTATCTCTTTTTTTCGTATTGTTTTAAGGGATCCTATCTTATCTGGAATTTTTATATATTCTTTATATCTCATATGGTACACTAACTTATAGAAGAATAAATTGTATTTCATAGCAATTTTTGTAATACTATTGATATATTTCACAAAATTAAAGCATAAAGAATTCATAATATCTAACTTAATCAAAATTTTTATATGTACACCTTTCTTGATTTTTAATTTCCCTCTTTTTATTATGAATATTAATGGTAAGACCATGTCTCTGTTTTTATTAAAATTTAATTTAACTCTCTTACAAAGCAAAGATTATACAGAAGTATAACTCTTATATAAAGAAAAGAATAAATTTAAACTTCATATCCTAAGATAGCAAGAAAAGAAACTCAGACTAATTTATCTGCGGCCTAAACCAACCCTCTTTTTATTATTTTGATATATTTTACTAGATTTTCCTATATTCTGAAGATTGGATCACTATATATAAAGTGTTCATAATTAATACAATCCCCTTAAAGAGCTTTGTTTATATTTCCTATCTTTTTAGATAATAACTTTTTTTTTTCTCAGCATTTTTGTAAGGGCAGTGTCATTTATTACCTAATTTTTTTTATCAAAAGCTTACTCTCCTCCCCTTCTCTTAATATATATCTTGATTAAGTCCTTATATATAATTTTAAATTTTTTAGCCTCCTTCTTCTCTAAAAAATTACCTGATTTTGTCACATCCCTAAGCGCATTTGTAAGCATATCTATGATTAAATATTATTTTCAATCGATCTCATTTATCTTCTTAATATATGATTCAAGCCACTTCTTGGCTTTATTTTAAGCATAGATATCAATCTGTTTATACTTTTCATCCAAGTTAAAAATTTGCATTATCTTGTCGGTAGATGGTGGTTCATATTTTTTGTTATACATTATGAATTGGATATAAAGTGCAGTAATAGTATTTTTAAAGTAATGAGATAGATCTAATTCCTTATTTAATTCTTTTGCAATATCCACGAATTCTATTTGATTACTCTTTTTCAGTATAAGCTTTTATCAGATAAACCAAAGAGTAAATCTAAGTAGATCATTACATAACTAAATTATTCTCCTGGATCCAGAATCTTGTTTTCATATTTTTTTCTTATTCATTTTATAAAATGTTGAACATATACATTATTTTTATTAGGTTTCTATACAGCTGTCTTTATAAACTGTTCAAAATTTTATTGCTTAAGATTAGATATGGCCTCTTTAAGAACCTTTTCAACAATCTGATGAAATGAACATACATTATTGATATCCATAGCTCCTTTTATAATTTGATCTCTTATAGTTCTAAAAAGCTGTGATTTACTTTTTTTTTTTTTTTTTTTAAGGTGAAGTTTTGCCTTTATCTTTATTAATATTTTGTATTGAGAATCTACTATAGGTTTCTCTGGCCAGAGCCAAGTTACAAAAATTTTGCAAGAATGAGACTCAGACTACCAGAAGCTATTTAAACTAGAAATTCTGATTCATCTGCAATCTAAACCTACTAGAGTGGTTAAAACTTATCTAGATTTGATAATATAAAATGTTATTAGTTGATATACTATATTTAATCTATGTAATAGTCTATAGTGATATTTTTCTGATTGCTTTTCTAAGAAGTAGACATATGTTATTATTATGTTGTTGGTTGGGTAGACCACAAAGGCAGCTGTATGTGTGTGGTATTCTACAGTGGGTTGTATTAGGATTAGTTGTTCTATAAGAAGTTCTTGGGCTTCGATTGGATCTGGAAGGTATGTTATTTTGCTGTTTCCATTCTGAAAGTTTAGCGCAGTATGGTATCCAAATCTGATTGTGTATATTTTGTGAAATTTGTATAAGAAGTTGAATAGTTGTCTTTGTTGTGACTTGGTTAGAGTTTGTGTATTCTCTTATAGATTGTATAAGAGATGTCAGGATAAATCTTTGAATAGTTGTATATAGGTTAATGTTGTTATGTTAGTTGTTAAGTATAGGTTATGTGAATTGAAAAATTTTTCAATAGATGCTAAATGTACTAAAAAACAGATATGGATCCTATTACAGGATATGAGTAAAGCTTATGACTTAGTCAATATAAACCTCTTTAGCAAAGCTTTGCGATGCTTAAATATACTTACGCAACTTGTACAAATTATTATCAACCTGCTGCAAAATTGTACAAACTAGGTTATTACCAACTATAGACTAACACCTCCCTACAATATACAAGATGGAATCGACTAAGGAGAAACAATAACCCCTCTCCTCTGGCGTATATACTATAACCTTTTAATTACTCATATTAATAAATCATATACTGGATACTCTTTCACAGTTGAGTGGATTACACAACTTAACTCTACAAAATACAAGACAATATCAATATTCATCTCTGTACTTGCATATATGGATGACACACTTTGGTTTGCCAAATCACTTGAACAATTACAACAAATTACACAAGCAGCATCTTCATTTTACACAATGGCACATATCAAAGTTAATCC